AAAATATATAAATTATTATTAAAATTATTATAACTAAAATTATAAAATAACTAAATATTAGCTGATTTATACATGATTTTGTAAACCTAATTTGTTTACATACCTATTACATAAAGCATACTACGCTTACCTAAAACTTTTATTTGTTTTTGCTTACGGATTTAAATAAAATGAGTATATTATATTGTATTATATTGATCTAGCCATTGATTTAATAAAGCTATAATAATCCTCTCTCTATTTTATTAATACTCTTCAGTGTTTAGAATGGTCTAAATTACTTGTTTTTTATAATGTGGCAATTTATTTGCTCGCATCGTTCAGATCACAAATAATATTTATTTACATAAACCAATAATTAAGTCTGAGATAACTAAAGGTAGTTGTTTTTTGTTAAATGCAAATAATTAAAAAATATATAGGTATTATTACATAATAATTATAATAATATATATTGTATTTTCATAAATGACAAAATACATGTTTATATTAATAATATTGTGTTTACAGAAATTTTGCAAAAAATATATTTATACTTGCTACACTGCATAAGTTTGCAATTTTTTCTTAAAGTTTTCGACGATTTTCTATTATCTTATACTCAGGGACGTTTACATAAACTGTAATAATAAATGGGCCATATTCACCAACCCTTCTTTTAAAGTTTTAAACGGTTTCTTTTTTAAACTTATAACACTAAATAACCTATTTTATTAACACGTTGTATTACATTTTAGATTGACCCCTAATTAGGAGTGTTAGCATGGATGTTTCTAAAGTTTGAGTATTTTTTAAATATTTGACATCAAGTCGAATAAGAAAATTATATTATAACTAAAACTAATTATTTTCTTACCTAACCGTGTTGACCATCTGGCCTTGGTAAGTGTATCACGTGAAACTGGTTTCAGAAAGCCGCTATTGTCGTGGTTTAGTTCATTTATCGAAGACAGAAAACAGTGGGTGCGAATTCATGGAGTTACATCTGATATTCTTCCTGCTTCTTCGGGTGTTCCACAAGGGGTTCCCCTTTCTCCACTACTCTTCTCGTTGTTTATTAATAGTGCTAACCTTGTCTTACAGCATGTGCGCCTATTAGCATTTGCGCACGCCATTAAACTGTTTTATCAGATTGACTCTCTAAACGATTGCCATATTCTCCAAGAAGAGTTAAAAGGTTTAGTCTCTTGGGGTGATAAGCTGGGGCTGCAATTTAATATTGCTAAATGTCATTCTTTTTCTTTTACACGCCGCAGACTCCCTATGCAATTTAGTCATACTATAAAGGGATCGGTTTTAGTGTCGCTTGACAAGTCTGTCACTGATCTAGATTTTGTTTTCAGTCCGACGCTTAGTCCTAATTTGCATGCAGAGAAAGTTTCATGTAAAGTTCTCAAAACATTAGGTTTTATTAAACGTGTGTCCTCCGAATTTAAATTAAAATCACCTTTGAGAGCACTGTATTGTTCACTGGTTAGACCAATCTTAGAATATGGTTCGGTTATTTGGGACCCTCATACGGCGAAAACTCACAACAGCTAACCGTAGACGTGCAAACAATCTTGGGTTTTTAGTTAAACTACTGCATGGATAAATTGACTCACCTTGTTTGCTTTCTAAAATTTCTTTCGAAGTTCCTCCCCGTTCTACCCGCTACACAGTTCCTTTTTCCCTTTCTTCCTCTTCCACTAATTATGGTTTAAATGAACCATTACGCCGCTGTATGTCATTAGCTAATTCCGACCTCTGTTACTTGTTGTAATTATTATAAATTATTGTAAATACCTTACTTCTCTTTGTTTTTTTTTTCTTCTACCGTAGATATAGTTTTTAGTTTGTAACTGTAATTGCTACTATTGATATTCTATTGTACTTTATGTAGTTGTATAAATTGTCACTGTTTTTATGATATCTTATAATCTTGCCCTTGAGGCGTATAAACATAAATGTAAATATAAATTTGCTAGATTTGTATTATGACATTAGTCAATAAGATATTCGATAACAGAATAAAGTTATCAACATATGATAGGAAATGTCTGTTTCGTACATGTCTCCACTCAATACATGTTATTTTACTACAGCTGTGAACTTTTATTTATAAGAACAAGTGTTTCCGAATATTACAACTATCAATGTATATAAAAACTATGTACTTACAAAAGTACACTTTTTTTTTAAATTTATACAAATATATGAGTGTATTCAAGTTCACTAATTTTTACTCTTTCAAACTACATTTCAAGCATAGACTTAGTATTATTTATTCATTTCAGGACATTTTGGTTTGCCTTTTTTGCCCCTAAGTAAGGAATTCATTTTTAATACTACCGAAGTATTAATATTTTATTCGTATCGCTCTTATAAAATGTGTTTTAGTAACAAAATATATGTTGTTTTTTGTTTTTTGTCAAACCGATATATTCGTAGTTAAATCACCTTCATTTTTTTCAATGACATAAAAATACTGTAGAAACTTGAAAAAAAAATCATATGCATATTTTTGTAAAAAACAATCGGTAGGACAACGTCCTACATTGAACAAAAAAAAATGTGTTCTATATTCAACACAGTTGTACAAAAATGAATAAAACAATAACGACAACAACAGCAGGAAATACAAAAAAATCGTTTTAATAGCAAGTTAAGAGATTTTCAAGTAAAATTTACGCATCGGTAAAAAATCTGTTAATACTTATATAGCAAATTAAGAAAATCGTACAATAATACCGGCTGTAATATAAGGTTTCTATAATACATACCCAAATCTTAAACGAAATCAAAAAATTAGTATGGTACATTGTAAAAAAAAAACAACTTGAATGTTACAAATAAAATATGATATTCAACAAAAAAAAGAGTATTCAACACAATTTATTCTGTAAGCCCTTTACATCATTTATCATTTGTTTTAATTTAGGTGAAAATAATCTGAGTGTCGCTGGGCTTCTATTATACCAATAGATTGCTAAATATCATTATTGTCAATGATGAAGTATTTTTTGAGGGTCTTCAAGTTTTGGCAGTAGTAATATTATTTTATTTCTTATCTACAAACTGTACTATGTATATAGATTAGAGTGGCTCTTATTAACATTTTTTTGCTGCATCCACCTCCCTCGGTAGTTAAGGTGTCTACATCAGAAAAATACATATTATTGTAGTACAATGATATTTATTCTTATTTCAGTTTCACTTTTATCCATTTTATTATTCGTTAAACAATTATTAAAATATAAAACCATTGATGAAAATATTATAAATGCTTAACTCTGCCAAGCCGCTAGTAAGCAATTGAAGCATCTGATATTTCATCTGTCTGATCTATTTGATTTGCTGAACATTTTGTTTGGTCAATAACCAAATTTGAATTATCACTTTTAAAGTCATTAAAATTGTAATTTAGGACGGGGTAAAGTGCGGTACAGTAATGCGCACAGATAAAAATAATACTACTATCCACTCTTCGTGCAACAATTTTAAGAAAAATGAGCGCCTTATTCTTAAGTTCTCATATAAAATCGATAATTTTTTTTAAGTTTGAGTATTAGGTTATCTGGTCTAACTTGCTCTTGGACAACACTAATTTTTCAATTTAGTAAGGAAATTTGTAAATTATTACTAATTATAACTACAAATTTTACACGATTAAAAAAAAACATTTTTTCGTTTTTGGATTCACTCTGATGCTTTCCATATTTATGTGAATGGGAATGCATTCATTTTTGAAAAAAAAATTCCAACAATATCATCAACTCATGTATTTAATTCTCAGGAAATGGCTGCCAATGTTCGCTAGGTAAAATACACAGCCGCCCATTATTGAAAGCTGCAATTTCGTGATTAACACACATTGTCGATACGCCCATTTCTTAAATCATGAAAATAATGTTATTATTTTAACACGTTTTTATTAACTCGTATTCTTCTCTGTTCGGTAAAAATGTTTGCAATCAAATTTAAACAATCTTGCCGATGAGCTAGAGACTTGAAACTTTAAACATAGCACATAACTGGACAACAACGCAATTTTATCTGTGTTATTAACTTATGAAATGAATAGTGCATTATTGACAATTGCCACGATGTTTAAGGAGACAGCCACTCGACGCAAGCGACTCCTAGAAAAGGAGAAACAAAAACGACAAGAGAAGCTTCAACAGCAATCGGAAACAGGTAAGTCTTCAAGATTAGTCAAACTACGTAAAGGAGCCGAAGAAGTGATGATGGGAAGAATGCGACAAATAGAACCTCTAGCACGATAACTAAGATAAAGTGTCCATATAAAAAAAAACACTTTTGACATAGATCTAGAACAGTGATGAGAAGTCTAGTAAAATTGACATCGATAAGTGGTATGTGAGTCAGCACCTTTTTACCAGTTACAGTTATAGTCTTGAAGTTACATTGTGTACTTAAATTTATACACATTTATTACCGACCACCCTAAAGATATATAACTTTGGTTCCCGTCCGTATTTTAATCATATATATGCTACATCTTATAACATTGTTCTCATTCCAATTTTACTTTTAACCCTCGACAAATAATACTCATTTAATCAATATATAGATCATGTTTGTGTGTTTCTGAAATACAATGTTAAAGCATTATTTTTCTAGCTACATTTAAATTTAGTCGTAGAAACAGATGTTATTAGAATAAAGTAATACAGTAAAAAAAACAGGCAAACATGCATTTACATCTTGTGTACTGAAACAGAAGCCACAAGCCATAAAATATTTTTAGATGCAATAATAATTTAAAATAAGCAAAGTATATTTTAGCTACGAAGCGGAGCAGCGATGCTATTGTTTTTACAACGATGTTGGCTCTTTTTGTGTCTGTGTACACTGTAACTTTATTGGTACTTGGCCAATTGCTTGAAGTAGCAACTCTATAAATCATGTTTGTATACTTCTGTTTCACCAATGGTAACAGAACAGATGTTATCAGAATGGCAATACAGTAAAAAAGACATATAAGTTGTTGTAAATACCTAAAACTAACAAATGTTCAGTGCTGTACCTGATTTTGATTCCTCTAGTTATTTCTTAGTGTTATAGGTATTTCTTAATAAATAAACGAAAAAATGAATTGGAAAATTATATTTTTGTTGCCGTGTTTTACCGTTTTAGTGAACGCTGGTGCATGTAATAAACCATCTAGGACATATTCCCCAGAACAGGTAATATAATCGAGTAATGTTTTTTACTACACAAAATGTTTTTCGTTCTTAGGAAAAAAATTAAAGTAATTTTATCATACTATAAAGGGTGATTCTTTTATCATGAACCACTCAATATCTCATAAGGTTTAATAATAAATTAATTTTTTTTTCTTCATATTGTTGTTATACAATGTGATCTCAGTTTTTCACAATTATTTTTTTACCCCCTTCCCACTTAGTTTTTTTGATAGCATCTTTCAAAAATTTAATAGTAATGCATACATTTCATTAACTTCTTAAATTGAGAATTATGTCCTAAACATTTTGACTGGTCGATAACGAGTTTCAGATAACTATTTTTGAAGTTATTGAAATTTTAAGTTTAGAGCAGGAGGAAAGGTGAAGTGTAGTATTATTTTTATCTGCGTGCATTTCTCAACCGCACTTCCCCTCTCATCATAACTTTAAAACTCTTATAACTTTAAAAATAGTTATCTGAAAATGGTTATCGAAGTCAACATTTTTAGTACATTATTCTCAATATAAAAAGTTAATAAAATATATACGTAACCATTTAAGTTTCAAAGTTGCTATCAAAAAAACTAAGTTGGAGGAAGGTAAAAACAAAAAAAATTGTGAAAAAATGAGATCACATTGTATACAACAATATGAAAAAAAATATTTTTATTTCTTATTAAACCCTATGAGATGTTCATGATAAAATAATCACCCTGTATATATTTTCTCATCAATTTTTAAATGTAATAACATTTTGGGTATAAATCCACTTTATTGGATACCATTTTTTTTTAAATCGGTAGTACTTTTCATACTGGTTTCGGGACTGAAAAAATTAATGATCGCGCGTATTACCGATAGTGAGAGTGCGTGGCATTTTATATTATGTCGTCCCGCATTCCCCCGCTCATCGTGGCAGGTTTTTTTGCTACCTAATTCAACAGTCTATACTTAAAAAATATTTATAGTGTTCTAAAATGATAACTCAACATAGCTTATAAAATCAATAATGACACTATTTTGGGATTTTATTGAGGGTAAAGTGACTTAAATGACTTTTTTTCGACCAAATGCAAGAGAATAATTTTGCAGAAATATTCGCTAAACGTTGTGACGGATCGATAACCAGTTTTGGATTAATTATTTTAAAGTCATTCTAGTTAAAAATTTAAGACGGCCGTTGAAGTGCGGTTAACTAGGTATTTTGTGCAGATAAAAACGAAACTGCACTCCGTCCCCACTAGACTCCGACCCAGACTAAAAAAAAGAGAAGAGAAAAAAATATTTATGTTGTTAAATAGATGAAGTTACAGTCATAAGAATAATATCACTTCAGTCCAGCCAAATGGATGATAATGTAATTGTTTTTTTAAGTATATAATACAAATTTAGTAGGTACTGAATGACTACATTTTAACTTAACAATATAAAATAACATAAAACTTAAATGTTTCCAAAAAAAAAAAATTTCTGAATTGAAATTACTTAATGGAAAATGAGGGTCTTATCCTATATGAATCACCCTGTATAAGGAGCCTGCTCACATTAAATAATAAGCTATTGTATTCAAAAATAAAAAGTGTCAATAAATGTTTTATGAACACGAGTATCATGTGATATAGGTAAATTAAATAGATCTATTAAATAGATGAAGTTACAATCATAAGAATAATATCACTTTCAGTTGTAATAATTCATAATAACCTCTGACCTTTAATATGGTCCGTCCCCTTTGTGAACTGACCCCACTGTAATGGCTTCTTTTTTGTTACAGACGGGCGAGTATAGCAGATTGGAAAATAATGTAATTGTTTTTTTAAGTACATAATACAAAATTTGTAGGTACTGGATTATATTTTAACTTAACGCTGAATTACATAAAAAAATGCCTACATATATTTTTTTAAAATTGATACATAGTTAACTGAAATAAATTTAGAGTAGTGGTGGAATTATAGATAATGATATAGTATATTAAGAAGCAATAACAAGCTAGTATCTAAGGTGATTGGTATATTAAAACATCAAGTTTCTGGCTAATATTGCAGTGTTTAAAATTTGGTTTAAAACAATTCATAGAGAATTTTGGCCCTTAAACTTTTTTGAATTTATCATTTAGTTCTAATTTGAACGCTGAACGTACAACATATCTCTTATCAGAAAAAAGCTTAACCCATTCCCACACCCCCCAACCCCATTCCACCCCGCCCTTCATTTCTTACCTCTTACCCCTATCTCTTATCTCTTATTTATTTATTTATTGAACAAACGTCCGTAGGCTCAAGTAAAGTACAATATAAAATAAAATAGCAGAGAATGAAACAGCGAATTGATAAAATTAAAAATGACAAATAGAAAGAAAAAATCGTAAAAATTATTACAACATAAAATAATAATACAACATAACACAAAAAATTAATTAAATGGTGAAAAACTTTTTCTGTCCGCACTAAGTCAGTATTTGTTTTTAAAATTCATTGTAGTATAAATTTTTTTTAGACCGAAGCACTGCAACCATACGAAACAATTGAAGAATGGCTAGCAAACTTACCACTACAGACTATTACGGTTGATGAATGCCATACTTTGGCATTTACACCTAAGCAAAATCAAATAGTAATTTTTATATAAAACACATTATTCAAAAAATGTGTTGAACCGTTTTTATTTTTTAAGGACCACGCAAAGCCCGGATTAATTAATAGTAGATGTCCATCTAATATTGTGGACGTTCTTCTTGGGACAAGTGTACAAAGCAAAAGGCCTCCTGAATTAGCTGAATCTCTAGCTCAAAATCGCTCAAATATTTTAACAAGCTATACATTTAGACGTATTCCAAATGTACCAGCATTACTCGCGGCCAGTGCTGAAAACCCATCATTGCCTGGCCCAGGAATTCTTTTCATTTTCAATCAACTCAAAGATCTACCGGAAAATGTGGATACTGATTAAAATCGACGAGGCAGAATATAAACCAAAAATTAAAAAAAATATATAAATTATTATTAAAATTATTATAACTAAAATTATAAAATAACTAAATATTAGCTGATTTATACATGATTTTGTAAACCTAATTTGTTTACATACCTATTACATAAAGCATACTACGCTTACCTAAAACTTTTATTTGTTTTTGCTTACGGATTTAAATAAAATGAGTATATTATATTGTATTATATTGATCTAGCCATTGATTTAATAAAGCTATAATAATCCTCTCTCTATTTTATTAATACTCTTCAGTGTTTAGAATGGTCTAAATTACTTGTTTTTTATAATGTGGCAATTTATTTGCTCGCATCGTTCAGATCACAAATAATATTTATTTACATAAACCAATAATTAAGTCTGAGATAACTAAAGGTAGTTGTTTTTTGTTAAATGCAAATAATTAAAAAATATATAGGTATTATTACATAATAATTATAATAATATATATTGTATTTTCATAAATGACAAAATACATGTTTATATTAATAATATTGTGTTTAAAAAATTTTGCAAAAAATATATTTATACTTGCTACACTGCATAAGTTTGCAATTTTTTCTTAAAGTTTTCGACGATTTTCTATTATCTTATACTCAGGGACGTTTACATAAACTGTAATAATAAATGGGCCATATTCACCAACCCTTCTTTTAAAGTTTTAAACGGTTTCTTTTTTAAACCTATAACACTAAATAACCTATTTGATTAACACGTTGTATTACATTTTAGATTGACCCCTAATTAGGAGTGTTAGCATGGATGTTTCTAAAGTTTGAGTATTTTTTAAATATTTGACATCAAGTCGAATAAGAAAATTATATTATAACTAAAACTAATTATTTTCTAACCTAACCGTGTTGACCATCTGGCCTTGGTAAGTGTATCACGTGAAACTGGTTTCAGAAAGCCGCTATTGTCGTGGTTTAGTTCATTTATCGAAGACAGAAAACAGTGGGTGCGAATTCATGGAGTTACATCTGATATTCTTCCTGCTTCTTCGGGTGTTCCACAAGGGGTTCCCCTTTCTCCACTACTCTTCTCGTTGTTTATTAATAGTGCTAACCTTGTCTTACAGCATGTGCGCCTATTAGCATTTGCGCACGCCATTAAACTGTTTTATCAGATTGACTCTCTAAACGATTGCCATATTCTCCAAGAAGAGTTAAAAGGTTTAGTCTCTCGGGGCGATAAGCTGGGGCTGCAATTTAATATTGCTAAATGTCATTATTTTTCTTTTACACGCCGCAGACTCCCTATCCAATTTAGTCGTACTATAAAGGGATCGGTTTTAGTGTCGCTTGACAAGTCTATCACTGATCTAGATTTTGTTTTCAGTCCGACGCTTAGTCCTAATTTGCATGCAGAGAAAGTTTCATGTAAAGTTCTCAAAACATTAGGTTTTATTAAACGTGTGTCCTCCGAATTTAAATTAAAGTCACCTTTGAGAGCACTGTATTGTTCACCGGTTAGACCAATCTTAGAATATGGTTCGGTTATTTGGGACTCTCATACGGCGAAAACTCACAACAGCTAACCGTAGACGTGCAAACAATCTTGGGTTTTTAGTTAAACTACTGCATGGATAAATTGACTCACCTTGTTTGCTTTCTAAAATTTCTTTCGAAGTTCCTCCCCGTTCTACCCGCTACACAGTTCCTTTTTCCCTTTCTTCCTCTTCCACTAATTATGGTTTAAATGAACCACTACGCCGCTGTATGTCATTAGCTAATTCCGACCTCTGTTACTTGTTGTAATTATTATAAATTATTGTAAATACCTTACTTCTCTTTGTTTTTTTTTTCTTCTACCGTAGATATAGTTTTTAGTTTGTAACAGTAATTGCTACTATTGATATTCTATTGTACTTTATGTAGTTGTATAAATTGTCACTGTTTTTATGATGTCTTATAATCTTGCCCTTGAGGCGTATAAACATAAATGTAAATATAAATTTGCTAGATTTGTATTATGACATTAGTCAATAAGATACTCGATAACAGAATAAAGTTATCAACATATGTTAGGAAATGTCTGTTTCGTACATGTCTCCACTCAATACATGTTATTTTACTACAGCTGTGAACTTTTATTTATAAGAACAAGTTAAGTGTTTCCGAATATTACAACTATCAATGTATTCACAAAAGTACACTTTTTTTTAAAATTTATACAAATATATGAGTGTATTAAAAGTTCACTAATTTTTACTCTTTCAAACTACATTTCAAGCATAGACTTAGTATTATTTATTCATTTCAGGACATTTTGGTTTGCCTTTTTTGCCCCTAAGTAAGGAATTCATTTTTAATACTACCGAAGTATTAATATCTTATTCGTATCTCTCTTATAAAATGTGTTTTAGTAACATAATATATGTTGTTTTTTGTTTTTTGTTAAACCGATATATTCGTAGTTAAATCACCTTCATTTTTTTCAATGACATAAAAATACTGTAGAAACTTGAAAAAAAATCATATGCATATTTTTGTAAAAACAATCGGTAGGACAACGTCCTACATTGAACAAAAAAAAATGTGTTCTATATTCAACACAGTTGTACAAAAATGAATAAAACAATAACGACAACAACAGCAGGAAATACAAAAAAAATCGTTTTAATAGCAAGTTAAGAGATTTTCAAGTAAAATTTACGCATCGGTAAAAAATCAGTTAATACTTATATAGCAAATTAAGAAAATCGTACAATAATACCGGCTGTAATATAAGGTTTCTATAATACATACCCAAATCTTAAACGAAATCAAAAAAATTAGTATGGTACATTGTAAAAAAAAAAACAACTTGAATGTTACAAATAAAATATGATATTCAACAAAAAAAAGAGTATTCAACACAATTTATTCTGTAAGCCCCTTACATCATTTATCATTTGTTTTAATTTAGGTGAAAATAATCTGAGTGTCGCTGGGCTTCTATTATACCAATAGATTGCTAAATATCATTATTGTCAATGATGAAGTATTTTTTGAGGGTCTTCGAGTTTTGGCAGTAGTAATATTATTTTATTTCTTATCTACAAACTGTACTATGTATATAGATTAGAGTGGCTCTTATTAACATTTTTTTGCTGCATCCACCTCCCTATTTTTTTCCTATACTTAAAAAAATAATTCATGCCATATCTTAGGACATATAATCTAACATCACAACCGTAAAAATCATAATACCTAACTATAATCGGCGACATTACTCTTGTTAAATACATGAAACATTATCGTTGTAATTTTGTTTAGTGTCTTTTTTTTAGACAACACACTTGCAAACAAGTTAGTTTGTTTAATCCAGCAATTAAATTTAATATGTTTTACATTCCCGAGAGAATAAAAGTAATTAAATAATTGTGTACACTGTTACCAGTTTAACGTGAGACACACATTTTCTCTAAATATAATAAATTGCAATTTTGATTTTTTTCTAACTTAAATTCAAAGTTATACTTTTTTTTCTAGAGCTCTATCAACATTTAAACCTTAAGTTATAACGTGCCTATAAATTTAATTTAATTTTTAGATTAAGGACGATCTGCCGAAAATATTGACGGCTCCAGCTTTGGATAATTACACTTTAAGTGCGGTAGAGATAACTTTCCAGTTTCGACGCTTATTGATGAAAATCAGAACTTTCGAAATTAAATTTCTCGATAAACATTGCACTTAGGGCTTTGGATCATAGAAGTAAAACTGCTCGGGCGTCTCAAAGACCTAAGTATATGATTTCGAATTTCGGAACGATCGTGTTACCAGGTAAAAAAATCGGGACCAGAAATGTCGCTGTACGAATGAACGAGGG